TGTGAGTGAGATGGAGTCCTGCATTGTTGCCTGTGCTGTAGTGCAGTCCCATGATCAGCTCATTGTGACCTCAAACTGTTGGGCTCAAGTGATCCTCCTGTCTCAGTCTTCCAATAGCTGGGACCAAATGCACATGCCACCATACCTGGCTTATTTTAAAATTTTTGGTAGAGATGGGGTCTCTGCTATGTTGCCTGGCTGGTCTTAAACTCCTGAGGTCAGGCAATCGTCTCACCATGACCTCCCAAAATGTTGGGATTACAGGTGTCAGCCATTATGTTCAGCCTACTTAACAGATGCTCTATAAACATTTTTTCCTCTGCCTCTCTATAACCCTGTCAGCATAGGTTTTCTTTCATCACTCTTTTTTAGAGATAATGTCTTAAAGCTACGTTGCTTTAAGATTAGAGCATAGTGGCTATTCACAGGTACAATCATAATGCACTCTTGGGCTCAAGCAGTCCTCAAGCCTCAGCCCTCCTGAGCAACTGGGACTACAGGTGCATACCCCACACGTGCTATTTCATCAGTGTTTTTGTGGGTGACTTTTAAAATAGTTATTATGCATTTTAAATTCATTTGTGACTGAGTTCTGCCTCTTCTCTTTTCAAGAATAGAAGTTTTGTTTTTTAGTCTATAAGATGTGGAAAATATGGAGTCTTTGTATACTCCCCAGGAGAGACTAAGACGTCTTTATGGGAAGAGTGGGTTTTAAGAGTATTTTTATAGTTTCACAAAATAAAGCATTCATAATATGTATTCTTCTGTATGAGGATAGTAGTCCAGGAAGTCCAGAGTACAGATAATAAGGTTTGTATTTTCTTTTTTCTTTCTTTCTTTTTTTTTTTTTTGAGACAGAGCCTTGCTCTATTGCCCAGGCTGGAGTGCAGTGACGCAGTCTTGGCTCACTGCCACCTCCGCCTCCTGGTTCAAGTGATTCTTGTGCCTGAGCCTCCAAAGCAGCTGGGATTATAGGCTTGTGCCACGAGGTCAGGCTAACTTTTTGTATTTTTAATAGACATGGGGTTTCACCATGTTGGCCAGGCTGGTCTCAAACTCCTGACCTCAGGTGATCTACCCACCTCAGCTTCCCAAAGTGCTGGGATTATAGGCGTAAGCCACCACGCCCAGCCTAAAGTTTGTCTTTTTAAAGAATAATTTTTAAAAATTAATGATAGAATAACATACCATGTATTATTTAAGAATTGAAATCTACCTCTATTGTGAGCTTACTTGTTAGTTGATATTTACTGAGAATCAGGTTTAGGGACCTACATGTATATGTTCACCAGGTACTAATTGTGCAGCTTAGGAAATATTTAAGAAAATTCAGCTAGTTGTAGGTTGACTTTCTTGCATTTGCATTTGTTATAATGAATTTTTTTTGAACATCTGAAAGGTAAAAAATATAAAACTTTCTTATTTTGTAAGTGTTGACAGATTGGTACTTTGATAAATAAGTGCATTATTACTAATGTGTGTCATCTTTTGGAATTTTTGTAATGGGCTGTCTTCATGTGAATTTAAAATGACCAGAAGTTCTTTCTCAACTGAGATGTTACATACTTGTAATCACTGTGTTATTTTCCATCCCGTTTGTCACATTCTCTCAATCAAGCGTTCACAAAACAGCTGATTATCAAAATTTGGGGTTGGGCATGGTGGCTCACACCTGTAATCCTAGCACTTTGGGAGGCTGAAGTGCACAGATCACCTGAGGTCAGGAGTTCGAGACCAGCCTGGCCAACATGGTGAAACCCTGTCTCTACTAAAAATACAAAAAATCAGCTGGGCATGGTGGCAGACACCTGTAATCCTAGCTACTTGGGAGGCTGAGACAGGAGAATCACTTGAACCTGGGAGGTGCAGGTTGCAGTGAGCCGAGATTGTGCCATTGCATTCCAGCCTGGTTAACAGAGTGAGACTCTGCTTCAAAAAAATAAAATAAATAAAACAAAATTTGTGGTTGTTCTGATAAACTATCAGGAATGATCTCAGATTTATTTCAAGGTTCAGTCATTAGAAAGTTTTCAAGCAGTTTTCATTGCATACACATTTTGCAGTTAAATGTTATTTGGTTATATTGTTTTATTAAATTTGTTTTGTAACTATAGTATTCTTTTGTCTTTGGATAGCTCAAGTCACTATAGAAGAAATCACTCCTCTTGTCCCCCCGCAATCAGGAGATAAAGGGCAAGAAGATCTCACAAGCTATTTTCTTGAAGCACTTCTAAAATATATAGTAATTCAGGTATTTGTTATTTTCTTTGATATCACACTCCTTACTATCCTATGTGAGTGATTCCTTTCTCCCTCTTTTACCATTATTCTGTTATAGTATATATTTGCTTATTTTCTTTATGTTGGGGAGGTTGGAGGGGAAGGGTTAATGGCTTCCTTTTAATTAGTTTTAGCCTTTAAGTTTTGTAAGTGTAATCAACCAAGTGATGGTGTTAGGTGATATTTCCTACACTTATTATGTAAACTCAAATTTTAGACTCTTCTTTGGAGTAAAATAGACTCTTCACTGTTTACAAGGGTATTCCTGAGTTATAAAAATTCTCTTCATGTTTTTTTCCTGTATCCCTCTTTTCGTCCTTGGCTGCCACAATAAAAAAGACAGAAACCACAAAGGCATGTTTTTGTTGTATCTGTAATGGAAACGAGCAGCAGACTGTTACTGCTCCAGGTCTGCCACATAATAGATGCATATATTTGCTTATTTTCTTGACAAAGGAGTGACAAATTTTTACTATTGAAAATATGTTAATATCTCTTTCTCAGATAAAATCATTGGAGGGATGATGTCACTCTTAGAAAGGGATCTAGAGAGAGACATTTTTGTATATACCTTCTTATGTGAGACAGTTGGGCCTATTTTCTAATCCTTTCATTTGTGATCAGCAGTGATGCTTCATATGAAAAGCTGATAACTGTTTGATTTAGGAATCAATCTGTCAGTATGTAACAACTAAGGAGGTGGGCTGCAGGATAGCGATTGGGGAGAAATTTAATTTACACTTAAACCTGTATGTACCTTTTGAATTTTTAGGTGCATGTATTTTGCAAGGTACCCTATTCACCTTTAGATATAAAGTGTGCATACCCTGATTGACTGATGAAAATGCTGTTATTAGCGCATTTCTTGTAACAGCTCCAAACACAAAAATTCCTTATACCTCAGAAACAAACAATATAAAGGTAATTTGGATTCTAAACCAGATCACCAGAGTTTGAACCCTGATTCCACATTTTACTAATAGTGTGGCTGTCGGCAAATTACTTCATAACCACTTTGTGTTTCTGTTTCCTTATTTGTGAAATAGAGATAAAAATAATACTTATCCCATTTTGGTGTTTCAGGCCTAAATAGTGCAAAGTGCTTAGAATAAAATAATGCACTGCACACCATAAGTATTCTGTAGTGGGCAGGTGTTATGATCATCATTGTTATTACTAGTTTTTCTTTAAAAAATACTTTCGTACTTCATATAGATTTTAAATATTGTGTTACTGATTTATTGAGCTATAATTGATACACAATAAACTGCAACATTTGAAGTTTACAGTTTGATTAATTTTGTTACATGTATACATCCATGAAACCTTTACCACAATTACAATAATGTATATATTTATCACCTCTAGACATTTTCTCTGATCTTTGTTTGCTTTGTTTTCTGTTTGTTTGTTTGAGACAAGGTCTTGCTCTGTCACCCAGGCTGGAGTACAGCAGCCTAATTATGGTTTACTGCAGCCACAACCTCCTGGGCTCAAGTGATCCTGCCACCTCTACTTCCAAACACCTGGGACTACAGGCTCAGACCACTGAGCCTGGCTAATTAAAACTTTTTTTTTTCTTTTGGAGAGACAAGGTCTCACTGTGTTGCCCAGGCTGGTCTCAAACTCCTGAGCTCAAGCGATCCTCCCACCTTGGCCTCCCAAAATGCTGTTATCATAGGTGTGAGCCACCATGCCCCTCAGATCCTTTTGTAGTTCATCCCATTGAACTCCCATACCACCATTTTAACCTTAGTAATCTATTGATCTGGTTTTTTTTTTTTTTTGTCATTATAGAATAGTTTGTGTTTTCCATAGTTTTTATGTAAATAAAATCATAGGGTACATACTTTATTTTGGTCTTGCTTTGTTTTGTTTGATTATTTTAAGAATTATCTATCTTGTTGTATGTGTTAGTGGTTTGCTTCTTTTATAGCATTCCATGGTAGGGATGCATTAGTTTATCTAGTTATTTGTTCATGGTTATTTGAGTGGTCTTTAATTTTTGGCTATTTAAAGTAAAACTTCTATGAATATTGGTAAACAAGTCTTTATATGGACATACAACACTAGAATGGCTGGGTCATATAGTAGGTGTATATATTGACTGTTTCAGAAACTGCCAAGCTGTTTTCCAAATGATTGTACCTTTTTACATTCCACTAGCAATATGTAAGACTTATACAATTGCTTGGTAGAGTCAGTTTGTAATTTTAGCCATTCTAGTGAATGTGTAGTGGTATCTCATTATGGTTTTAATTTGTATTTCCCTAACAGCTAATGGTATGTTGAGTATCTTTTTATGTGCTTATTTTTCATCCATGTATCTTAGGTGAAATGTCAGTTCACTTTTTTTGCCCATTTTTAAATTTGGTTGTCTTACTAACTTTTTTTATATGTTTTAGAAAGCAATCATTAGCCAGTTGTATGTTTTGCAAATATTTTCTCCCAGTAGCTCATCTTTCCATTTTCATAGCAGTTTTTTGAAGAATAAAAGCTTTTTATTTTGATAAAGTCCACTATACTACTTTTTTGTTTTTGTTTTTTGAGATGAAGTCTTGCTCTGTCACCAGGCTGGAGTGCAGTGGCGTGATCTTGACTCACTGCAGCCTCCACCTCCCAGGTTCAAGCAATTCTCCTGTCTCAGCCTCCCGAGCAGCTGGGACTACAGCTGCATGCCACCACACCCAGCTAATTTTTTATATTTTTAGTAGAGACAGGATTTCACCATGTTAGCCAGGATGGCCTCGATCTCCTGACCTCATGATCCTCCCACCTTGGCCTCCCAAAGTGCTGGAATTATAGGCGTGAGCCACTGCATCCAGCCTTACTATACCACTTTTTTAATGGATCTGAGTTTTGGAATAGTTTCTAAGAAGTCTTTGCCTCATCAAATGTTACGAAGATACTCTCCTATGTTATCTTCTTGAAGTTTTATAGTTTTATGTTTTACATTAAGGTTTATGGTCCATTTTAAGTTAATTCTGATGTATGAGCAATGTTGGCCTTAATCCTTTGATTAAAGTAGTGTCTGCCAGGCTTTTCCAGTGTAATATCAGTAAGTATTGCACTGGGAAATCAACAAGCATTTTGTGGGGAAGTACTGTGTAACTACCTAAATATCCCCTTTCTTATAGAAATTTCACATATGTCTTAGCATCCCTTGAAGGCTTTTGACTTTGTAATTAAGAGGTTGACCAAACGATAATTTAAAAAAAAAACAAACAGCTTTATTGAGATATGATGCACACTTCATGCAGTTCACTCACTTAAAACATACAGTTCAGTGTTTTTAAAGTATATTCACGGGGTTACACAGCCATGACAATATAATTTTAGTGCTAACGGGAAACCTCATACTCATTAGGAGTCAGTCCTCTTATCCCCTAACCCTTTCATCCCCAGCCCTAGGCAAACATGAATTGATTTTCTCTCTACATATATTTGCCTATTCTGAACATTTTACGTTAATAGTATCATACAATATGTAGTCTTTATTGAATAGCTTCTTTTACTTAGGAAATGTTTTCAAGGTGTATCCATGTTGTAGCACGTATCGATACTTCATTTTTATTCCACTGAATAATATTATATTGTATACATATACAGTATTTTGTTTATCTCTTCATCATCCAATGAGTATTTGAGTTGTTTCTACTCTTTGGCCAACTAGTGATATTTTAATTCTATCATTACTTCTACATTCAAGAATTGGCTACACACTGTAGGACAAGCTTTTTCCCCTCCCCGTTTGTTTACTTACTTATTTATCTCAACCCATGTTGAGATAAATTCCTGTGAATTCATGTGTTAGTATTTACTATAGTTATTAATTTTGATGCTCAGATTGTCCTAGATTTGTCTAGTGGAAGTTTCTTCAAGCAGCCTCTTAACACCTTTTGAATTGCTTCTGTCATTGTCTGAGTGCTTTCTTACTTCCTTGCACCACAAGATATTCCAGGCTCATTTCGTACCTTCCTTGCCCACTCTGGAATCTGCTGCTTCTCTAAGGACTTGTCATTCATTTTAATGGAGAATTGTATTCACAGATACAGACACACACACACCCATAAATCTATATTCCTGTCTATCATAATGTTGATTCATAACCGATTCTCCAGATTTCAGTCTAGTACCACAGGGTTCATTCTGGTTTCTTCCTTTCCATATTTACAACTCTTTGTCAATGAGAAATGTGGCTCACATTATTCTCAGTACATTTACGTATTTAATCAGTCTTCCTTGTGCATAATCAATCTCCGATTGCCACCGTTGCCCTCCTCTGCAGACATTCTCCTTAACTTGATTGATTCTAGTACCCCATTCTGGGCCTTTGCCAACCACCTGCTTAGATGTCTTCCTTACCTTCTTAGAGTTCTCACACACTCTGTTATACTGCTCTATCTCCTTCTGTCCTCACTTCTCCAACTTCATGGACACCTTCCTTAACTGTCTCAGACTGTGAGTCCCTGCTGGACTACTGCCTCTGCTATACCCCATTCATTGATGGCCTGTGTCCAGTGCTCAGGCTCTGATTATCTGAACTTGACTGCTGCCACTGCTTACACACTCTCACCCTGGCCACGTATGTCATGTAATTTGTATGATTTTTGGCTGAATTATTCAGGAAGGGACAAAAGGGAAGGAACTTTAAATTTTATCATTAGTAGGACCAACTTTTGCATAAATTTTCATAGTTTTTTGAAATATATGTATAATATGTTTATTTTAATTTTTTTGAAATACACATATTTCTAATATTTTTCTAATTTTTTTGAAATATACATAATGTATGACAATAGACCAATTTAAAAGATTTGTCCTTATGCTATGTATTACGATCATTAGTATTAACAGTTCAGTGTATTGTAACCTTTTATAAGCTTGTTTATAATTGTTAATACTTGCATTTAAGAGATTCTGTCTTCTGGAATGATTCTAATTATATAATTTATTTTTAGGTAAAAAGTTTAGAATGGAAGAATAAAGAAAACCAAGAAAGGGGATTTTCATTTTTGTTTTCACATTTTAAGAAATATTACTTGCCTTATATTTTTCCAAACATCTGTAAGGAGAACAGTTTATATCATCCTATACTTGGTAGGTAATGTTCAGAATTTTCTGAAAGATCACATATAGGAGTAAAATAATGTCTCACTGTAAAATTGGCATTTGTTACTGCAGGAAACTGATCATATTTAATATTTGTATTGGTTGGTACAGATATGTTACCTAGATTCATACTGAAAGTGAATTTGTATTAATGGGAAATTTTCAATGAGAATGAGAATTTTTTTTTAGAGATAGGGACTCACTCTGTCACCCATGTTGGAGTGCAATGACATGATTATAGCTCACTTCGGCCTTAGCTGAGGCAGTCTTCCCATCTCAGCCTGTCCAGTAGCTAGGACAACGGTCATGCACCACCACATCTGGCAAGTTTTTTTTTTTTTTGTAGAGTTGGGGTCTTGCTATGTTGTCCAGGCTGGTCATGAACTCCTGGCTTCGAGTGATCCTCCCACCTTGGCATCGCAAAGTGCTGGGATTGTAAGCATGAGCCACCACACCCAGCCAGCAATGAACAGATATTTTAAAAACTTATTTTCTGGATTTTATCCATTAGAAAAGTTAGCCCACCAGAAATATTTGTGATGAATTCTTGTTTGGTATGATCCTTAGATTATATTATAAATTTTCTTTTTAGGGTTCCCCCCATATGGGGGTTCAATCAAGTATTAGTCTTATTCAAATCCTATATTAATAATTACATAGTCATGTTTTGTCCAGTACTTATTATAGGTTGGTGCAAACGTAATTGCAGTTTTGCAATCACTTTTAATAATTATTGTGCCAGTATATCTCTTGGAGCCTTGAGCCTAGAGCCTTTTGTACATATCCTGGGTTAGGAGCATATCTCTGCCATTTATAGATGGTATTGGTAGTCTGTAGGTAAATTGTCTCTTTCCCAGAAAGATTTTCCTAATACCAAGTTTAGGTGACTAACAGGCTCAGGTAAAACCTCGTATTTTGTATGACTTCAAAATGTGTGCTTCAGTGTTAGGCTAATTGAAGTAAGCTCTTATTTATTTCAAATGGTTCTGGAAGCTTCTTGGTACTTACGTAGGTTCATTGAACTTTTTGATATTTTGTAAAAAGACATGTTTCCATAGTTCTATGCAAAATCTAATAAATTTTGAAATGTCATTTTTGTGCTAAAGCTACTTCTAAAACTAGAGTAGCATAACAATATTTTCTCAAATATTTAAAAATGTAAGTTTTTCTAAACATAATTTCTTTCTTATTTTGGTTTTTATTTTCCTTTTATTTTGCACAGACATCCCACAAATGAGACCAAAGCCACATTATGTCATGATAAAGAAAGATGCTGAAACCAATGAAGCAATCTATTGTACAAAGGAGCCTTTCATTAAAGCTCGCGTTATTGTCATTCGTTGGCTGGTTTCTTTCTGGCTGGAGCCAAAACCACATACAGGACCTCATATTCCTGGGATGGAAGGTGAAGTCTTGCCAAAGAATATTCAGGTAATGCACAAATGGGGCAGGCTTAATAAAGTTAGAAATGGCTTTTGAGATTTACTCCACTGATTTCAATTGCCTTAGGTGGAGAGTACACTCAAAACAAGTAATTTATTTGTATAAATATATTTTATAAATGCAAATTTTAATAATTATAGAATTAAGAAGTTTCTTAATAAATGAAACGGGAGGTATAGAAGATAATTTCTTTAGTATATCAGTCTCATCTTCTAATTTATTTCTATATTTTATTTTAATTATATAGTACTAAAAATATTCTGAATTGTAAAGATAAATCTTACAAGTGAAAAGAACTGTAATCAAATGATAGGACCTTCATAGCCCTTTTAATTTGGGGATGTTCGAAAAATGCAGATTTAAAGTCCTGTTCACACCCCCTTCCCTCTTTTTCAACAAAGATACCAAGTCTAGAAATGTGATATACAATACACACCAATACAGTGGAAGAATTAATATTTCAAGCTATTGTTTTAGATTTAACAATTTACCTCTTTTTCATACTTCTTTTTTTTCCTCCCTTTTCCCTCATTGTACATTTTTCTAAACATGTCTGTATTACAGTATTTTTTACTATTTTTATTTTCCTTTCCTCAGATTTTCGTAGTTTTAAAAATCTTAAACCATGTGTGTTTTTTCTATAACACCTTAAATCTTTTATAAGTAGGATAAAAGGTATCAAGTGTATTTAATTCATCAGAATTCAGAAAATTTGACTTTTATTCCTGTTAGTTTTTAATTTATCTGTAGCAGACTATATGGTGTGTTTTCCCCAAAAACTTTGCTCTAAGTTCTGTGTGAAGAACTATTAAATGCGAAAACTCTCAAGCAGAGCTTTCTGCTTTCTGATCCTAGAACATAGTGGATGAAAATCATAAATGTTGTTTGATGGGAAAGGCATATTTGAGACCATTTATTTATGCTCTCTTACTTTATGGATGACAAAACCAATGCCAAAAATTGAATAACTTAACAAAGTAATTTATCATACCACAAAATAGTGCGACTTTTGTCATACAGTAATGTGCTTATCACCACCTTAAGACTTAATTTTTCCATGTCTGTCTGGTTAAGCTTGATCTTCAGCCTTGGTGAAAATTCCATTATTAGAATTAGAGAATTTTCCAAGTTTTCTAATTTTTTTTTTTTGTTTCATTTCTGCCTGTCATAAATTTTATTCCTTTTCTTTGTTTTTTGTTTTGCTTAAGAAGCTTTTACTTATGTAAATTTGTGTCCACAGTAAAATAGAGGTGTTTTTAAACATTTAAGGTTTTGTTAGTCTGGTGTTAAATTATTTACTTACTCTTGAAGGTCTGAGCTGTCTCTAACTGCATTATTCATCCATACAGCTTTAATTAGTAACTTGTTTGAACTGCAAACTAACTGAGAAACATATATAACTATAGGTGGGTAGATGATTAATTACCACACATTTTGAAGTATCTCTGTCACTTAGTTGAGTTACTTGCATTGCCACTTTATTTAGAATGGCTTTTAAATGAAACTCTATGCTGGGAGCTTAAGCAGTGGTATAAATCACTTGGGAAATGCTTTGGATTTTGTCAGTGTTACCTATTAAACGACAAAATACACAGTTAATGATTATGATATTGTTTCTCTCTCTTTCTCTCTCTCTCTCTCTCTTTTATTTTAGAGAGCAGCTGCTAGTTTAGTATCCAGAGAAGAAAGCAAAAATGATAATGCTGATAAAGCAGACAGAACTACAGAACCAGAACAGTCTCATTCCAATACAAGCACTCTCACAGAGCGAGAACCTAGCTCGTCTAGTCTCTGTAGTATTGATGAAGAACATCTCACAGACATTGAAATAGTTCGCAGAGTTTTTTCTTCTAAAAGAAGTAACGTAAACTTTGTGACAGAGATATTTCGTCAGGTAACATACCTCTCTATTTTTAAAATATAAGGAAGGCTTTTATCTTTAATACTAAATGTACTGATTTTTAGCTGGGAACAGTGGTGTGTACTTTTAGTTCTAGTTACACAGAAGGCTGAGGTGGGTGGATCGCTTGAACCCAGGAGTTTGAGGCCATTTTGGACAACATGGAGAGACCAAATCTCTTAAAAAAAAAAAAGAGAAAGAAAGAGATTACTGATTATTAGCTATTTAAAATTTATTCTTCATGTAGATTTCTTTAGTTTATACTTAGTTTATAAAATTTACATCTAATCCTTTAGTATTTTCTATTCTTTACATATTTTAGTTTGTGATACTTTTAGCTCACCATTTTTCCCTTTATACTCTTTTTGTTACCAGAATAATTTCTTAAATTACTAATTGCAGATTGAAACCCTTCTATCATTTGATTAACAAACTGTAGTAAAATTATTTCATCTTTCACTCTATCATCAGTAAATGGTTATATGAAGGGAGGTTTTTATTGCTTTTATCCTCAAGGCTTAATTTTGTCCTCTAAGGCATTCTGAAGTCAAAGTTGGTTTAAGACAGATATTTCTTGAACTCCTGACCTCAGGTGATCCGCCCGCCTCCATCTCCCAAAGTGCTGGGATTACAGGCTTGAGCCACCAAACCGGGCCCCTTAACACAGATATTTCTTAGGGAAAATATAGAAAGAAAGGGAAAGAACAAAAACTATTTCACATGAAGATAGCTGGAAATCCCTAAGTGCACATTCTCAAATACGTAGAAATTTTGTGGAAAAGAAACCTTATGAAAACTACTATTTGCTCTTAATGGCAAAGGTACTTTTATAAGTAAACAACATTGAGTTTTGCAGCTGAGAGGGATCATGCAGGTGTCCCAGGAAGTAGATGAGTGGTAGATCTGTAACTAAAATGCCCACATCTGGGTCGCCATGTCAGTACTCTTTATTCAGTGCCATACTTCGTTCACATGCCAGGGAGCTCTCTAGGCAAAGCAAATAGTCTTGATCTCCCACACGTATTTATTGATGTGTAAAACAAAGCATGAGACAGCATTAGCCTTGTCAGCCTTGGTTAAAGAAAGAAGCTTGTTTTAATTTTTTGTCCGGTGTTGGCAGTGGTTTCAGCTGGATTTAAGGTTTGTGTTAACAGAATATGTAACAATCGGGAAAGGGAAGATACTTGGCAAATAATGTTGGAATACTTGTGGGAAATGTTAAAGCTTATAGAACTATTCAGGCTTTCTAGTTCTTGTGTCAGTTTAAATAAGTTTATTTTTCTAGGCATTTGTTTATTGTGTTTGTTTTCAAATTTGTTGACAAAGCTCATCACATCCTTTTATAATCCTTTTAACCCCTGAAGTATTTATATTCAGGTCCTCCTTTTTATTCCCATCAGTACAGTATTTAATTGCCCTGGTAATTTTTAAAATTTTTTTGTAGAGCAGTGTCTTGCTGTGTTGTCCAAGCTGGTCTTGAATTCCTGGCCTCAAGCAATCCCCCTGCCTTGGCTTCCCAAAGTGCTGGAATTACAGACATTAGCCCTATCCCTTGTTTGTTTTTTTTTTTGATGATGATTCTTGCCAGAGGTTTGTCAGTTTTATTAGTCTTTTCTTTCTGTCTTTTTCTGTCTTTTCCGCCAACCACCATTTCTTCTCCTGTAGTGGTTATCATATGTTTTAACATGCATACTTCACTTTTCAGGTTGTAAAGTTTTTTCTTTTACCCTCCTCCTAATCAATACAAGGACCTTAGAGCCCTACTAGTCTAATTTTCCCCCCAAACATATATATTATTATCAAGTAATTTAATTCTATTTTTTGTGTTGATGTATATTTGTTATATATTTGCCACTTTATTTTATCATGAGTTCTTCCATTTCAGATCTTCTATTTAGAATCACTTTCCTCTGTTTGAAGTTCATCATTTAGAAATTATTTTATTCAGGGGGATCTTGTTTCAAAAAAAAAAAAAAGAAAGAAATTATTTTAGTGGGTATATGCTGGTATCAAACACTTTTAATTTTATGAGGTTTTCCTAACTTTATTGAGGTATACCCAACAGATAAAAATTGTATATATTTAAGGTGTACAATGTGATGGGGTTTTTTTTAATCTATTTATTTATTTTTATTTATTTATTTTTTCACACATTACTCAGTAGGGTCACTCAGAGCAATGTGATGTTTTGATATAAGTATACATTGTGGATGATCACTACAATCAATCTGATTAACATAGTAATGGCCTTAGATAAAATTTCATTTGCTTGTATATGGTTAAGAATACTTAAGATAAAATCTTTTAGCAAATTTCAGGGGTAAATTACAGGGCTGTTAACTATAGTCAACATGCTAGATATCGAAAACCTGTTCATCCCATATAACTGAACCTTTGTACATTTTGATCATCTCCCATTTTGCCTACTGCTCAGCCCTTAGTCACCACCATTCTACTCTCTGCTTTTATAAGCTTGATTCTTTTAGATGGCACATTTAAGTGAGATAATACAATAAGTTGTCTTTCCATGTCTAGCTTATTTCACTTAGCATAATGTCCTCTGGGTTAGTCCATGTTGTTGCAAATGTTGGGATTTTCCTTTTTTTGTTATTTTGAAACAGGGCCTCACTCTATCTCCCAGGCTGGAGTGCAGTAGTGTGATCACAGCTCACTGTACTCTCAAACTCCTGGCTCAAGTGATTCTTACGCCTCAGCCTCCCAAGTAGCTGGGACTACAGGTGTACACCAACGTGCCTAGCTAATTTTAAAAAATTATTTTGTAGAGAGGGCTTCTTGCTGTGTTGTCCAAGCTGGTCACCAGGTCCTTGCCTCAAGCACTCCTTTCATGTCGGCCACCCAGTGTGCTGAGATTGAAAGCATGAGCCACTGTGGTTGGCCCTAGGATTCTCTGCTTTATAAAGACTGAATAATTGTGTGTGTGTGTGTGTGTGTGTGTTTGTATTTACCTGTAATTTCTGGCTCTCTACTCTGTTCCACTGGTTTATATGTCTGTTTTTTTATGCTGGTACCATACTGTTTTGATTACTGTTTTGTAATATATTTTGAAATCAGGAAGTGTGGGTACCTCCTGCTTTGTTCTCCTTGCTGAAGATTATTCCAGATCTTTTGTTGCTTCTTCATAGAGGAATTAACTGCTAATTTATGAACTTGAATATTCTGGTTTCTTCAACAGTTATTTCTTGTTGTAAATTTATAAATTATCACTCTGGTTTTATACATCAGTTTTTAGCTATGGCTAATATCAGTTTTTCCTCACAATTCACATTTAGCATGTTGAGAAAATCATATTTTGGAATCTGCAAGGACATAGGTCTCTGGTGTGTAGTAAATTCAGACCACTAGGTTGTAGCCTGACAATTTGTCTAATATTTTAGCACTGGAGGATATTAATTTTTTGAGATTATTAGACTTTATTTTTCAGTGTCCTAGACTGACAGCAAAATTGAGTGAGAAGTATACACTAATTTTTTAAAACAGGAATTTTTCAGTATCTTAAAACAGAATTTCTTTGAGATCTCTTTTTTCTTTTTGATGAGACGTAGTCTCACTGTCAACAGGCTGGAGTGCAGTGGCACAATCTCGGCTCTTTGCAACCACCACCTCCCCGGTTCAAGCAATTCTCCTGCCTCAGCCACCCAAGTAGCTGGGACTACAGGTGTGTGCCACCATGCCCAGCTAATTTTTTGTATTTTAGTAGAGATGGGGTTTTGCCATGTTGGCCAGGATGGTCTTGATCTCCTGACCTCATGATCCAACCGCCTCAGCCTCCCAAAGTGCTGGGATTACAGGCGTGAGTCTCTGTGCCTGGCCTGAATCTTTTTAAGGAAGGCTGAGCTCTTGCTACAACTGTAAAATAAATATTCTAATAGCAGGCAGTGAAGATCAAAATCTTGCCATTTGGCCATTAAAGCTGCTAGCATATGAGAGTGATAATTTAGGAATGAGTTGGTTAAAGAAAATAGCACATAAAGTAGTTTACTAAGGAATTAATAGCAAATAAGCTAAAGGATTAACAAACAACAGTAAATATTCTATTGATACTGCACATCAGCTTTTCATCATTATCTTGGGAGCTGACTTTTTTGCTAGTTTCATTCAGATAAAGTAAGTTCATGTGACCACTTTATTATTATTTAATATACCTACTAATAACTCTAGAATAGAAAGTAGCAGGTTTTAGGTAAAGGTTTTGTGATTTTTGAGGTTGATATTAATAGGTAGTATCATAAAAGGAAAAATAAAAGCAATTTAATTCTATTTGCACCTAAAAATAAAGTAAAAATATTAACCCATAAACACAAACATGCACAGGGAAAGGACTTTGGGTGATGAGATCAAGAGTATTTTTGCTGCTTTATTTTTGCAAGTCTGGATTGTGTCAAGGTTTTTTCCATGAAAATGTGTATTCGTGTTGAGGAAAATATCTATTTTTTTAAGATCCCAGAAAAAGAATTACTATGAGATCCTTCTTTTAAATTTTGCCTTATTGTTAGACTATAGAACTTGATTATATGTAAAATGAAGTATGCGAGTCTTAACTTTTTTCTTTGTATGCTTAGAAAAGGTGAGGTATCTTATTACATACGATTTTTATTAGTTTTTGGAGGCAAATTTAACTTTTGTTTTAAAATCAAAATCTGTTTTAATAGTAATAGTTCTTAAAAAGACAATGATGACTGGGTGTGGTGGTGTGTGCCTGTAGTCCAGGCTACTCAGGAGACAGAGGCAGGAGAACCGCTTGAGGCCAGGAGTTCCAGACTAGCCTGGGCAGCATAGCGACACCCTGTCCTAAAATAATAAAAAATGTAAAAACCAAAATAATGTAAGTTACAAGAAAGTGTAACTTATTATGAAAAGTTGTATTTACATTGGGCTTCATAAGAGCTCAACTATTTTAGGAAGCAAGGAATATCATCATTCTGAGCAATACAATTTCAACTAATCTTTATTTCTTCCACTTGAAGTCATTGCTT